TGTAAAGAATAATTGAATGTTTAAATTAAATTTGCATCACAAAAGCATTTTGCTATTGGAGAAGGTGTCTACTACTTTTGTGAAGCATCAAATCACCATCATATTAACTGTTAAAACATATTCATGACGGCATAAATGTATTATTCCTTTAAAAAAGTCACATATTGTGCATGTCTATTATCATACACACATTGTACTAAAGCGATTGTATGCGTTTGTATCTAAAAAAGTTCAATAATATTAATACATTTTCTCTTTGAACCATGAAATGAGCCTCCCATGCAGGTTTGAGCTACCAGAACTGTTGCTATGACAACAAATCTCAGATCAGTTTTGAAGAACGAAACGATCCTGGATTGTGTCAAATCGTCAATAACCAAATCCAGCTAATTGAATATAATGGGCATTGTAGCCTAGGGTAATGACACTCCACCAACACTATCAGCATGCTTAAAGGGTACCCATGGAAAAAAAAATCTACTTTTCAAGCTGTTTGAACAGACATGTGTGCAGGAATAATGTTTATACCGTCATATTGGGTGATATAAACAGACCCAGTTCTTTTTTTTTTTTTCAATTTAACAACATAAAAACAGTGGACCAATTGGAACGGTTTTGAGACCGACCGCAACTTGATGTAGGAGTGCACTTTACCTGCCCACCGATTGATTGACATCTGCGTATTAATATACGTATAACTATTAGTATAAGTATAACTGCGTCTCTGTAGTAACGTGTATTATCATATCAACAAGACAGAATGTGCGCAAAGCAACCGGCAATCCAATCATCATTAAACGTGATCTAGAGTGAGTTTTACGAGTTTATAATGTTTTTAAAACAGTGCATGTTTGTAATAAATGACAGCCATTTTACCATCTTTACTTTGTCAGCACAGCCGCGTGTCAGTACAATTATAAAAGATGACGATTCAATTCCAGTTTGTTGACATTAAATCAGGTTTATTTTGTACAACCCCTTCCACAGCGCCCCGACGAGGTCGCACTGAGGCGCTGTTTTTCCACATGTCAATGTTTATGAATAGATTACACCAAAAAGGACAAGTGTAATCTTGAAAAACTCTACATCAGTTTAAAGCTACATCCCCTAAGCACCCATTGCAGCTAGTTGTTTTTCAGTGGAAAGCTTATAAAGAATGTATTTGGTAAATTTGTGTAAGTTTTGCAGAAAAAGCTTATTAGATATGGCGTACATTTCATGTAATAACAACACACACATGCATTCATTGCTGTACACCACGATTTATTTTAAAAGGTAAGAGTCCACAGAAAAACATCCCATCAAACACATTTAGTCCACCGACACAATAGTGTTGAATTATGGATGGTTATTAATTTGTTTATGTCACCATTTGTGTCTGATATCTGTACAGCAGTGAATATTAACATGTAAGTTTAACAGTGCAAAGCAAGTGCTCACACCATCTGTGTGTGTGTCCACAGTGCGTGTGTGTGTGTGTGTGTGTGAACTTTGTAACGACATTGTGTGTGACTCGTTGTTGCAACTCCACAACAAAAGCATTACTCATACTCATTGGTAAAGTTCTTACTATTTCTCACAAACGTTATGGGGTCTGCTTCCTTCATGTCTGTCTGTTGTCTGAGGCAGCCAAGGGCGGAGATTGAGCTTCAGTACAACACCTACACTACCAGATGATGAAGATAAAACGAGGGTGGACATTTCAGCAAGACGATGTTCCCAAACACAGCCAAGGAACTCTCCGTTGGTTTCAGAAAATAAAATAAAGCTAACGGTATGGCCCAGCCAATCACCTGACCTGAATCCTGTAGAAAATAAGAACTAAAGATCAGAGTTTCTACACGAAACCCACTAAACCATCAAGATTTGAAGACTCTGTTGAAGTCTCAAAAAAGAGCTCACACCTGAGCAATTAATGCGACTCCATTATTTATACAGGAGACATCTTGAAGTAGACATTATTTAAAAAAAAAACCTTTTATGCAAAGCATAAAATACATTTCAGTAGTTCAATATTCTCTCGTTGTTGTTCCCTTGTTACCATTAATTTTTTTTCTTTTTTTTACTGTTTTTGTTTGTTTCAGCTTATTTGTTTGAGTTTTTACCAAAATGTGGGTCAGTTTCATTAACAGCATATTTTAAAAATATATTTACAAAAAAAAATAATAATAATCATAATGTGTTCAATACTTTACTCACTCTATTTAAAAAGAAAGTAAAACACTGATCAGATCCACACATTCATTTGCTGTTTCTCAGAAAGCATTTAATACTGCTGCGTTTTCTTCACCTAGCAGTGCCTGAAATTGTTTATGTAGAGGTCTGTTATTTTTAAGTCATTTTTAGTATTATTTAAGCTGAATAACTTCACCTGCTGTACAACAGTAAGCACACACTCTTTTTCACTCTGGGTAACCAACTTTCTGAATCTGCCAGTCTCGATGGCTAAGCTGTGCTCACTGAGTCAATATTTGGTCTGGATTTCTTTCTGCCAATCAAGAGATACTCTTCAAATTCACTCACTCACATTGTTTCAGCTTGTTCCCTTTTTCATTAGCAGTCACCACAGTGGATAAAATCGACAACAACTTTGGCATGTTTTACCAGTAGATACCCATGAAATAGCCAGAGAAATAATGTACAGTATAGAATATAAAGTTATGGTGCAGTGACAAAAAACGTAATATTGCGTATGACTTCCATGAGCTTGGAGGACTGCATCCATACATCTCTGCAATGACTCAAATAACGTAATAATAAAGTCATCTGGAATAGCAAAGAAAGCATTCTTGTGGGACTCCCAGAGTTCATAAAGATTATTTGGATTCATCTTCAATGCCTCCTCCTTTATATTACCCCAGACATACTTAATAATGTTCATCTCTGGTGACTGGGCTGGCCAATCCTAGAGCACCTTGACTCTTTGCTCTCAGGAACTGATGTGGAGGCTGGCGTATAAAAAGGAGCGCTATCCTGCTGAAGAATTTGCCCTCTCCTGTGGTTTGTAACGTAATGTGAAGCACAAATGTCTTGATACCTCAGGCTGTTGATGTTGCCATCCACTCTGCAAATCTCCTGCATTTCCCCATAATGAATGTAACCCCGAACCATGATTTTTCCTTCACCAAACTATCTGAATTCTACACCAAACTACACCAAACTAACTGATTTCTGTAAGAATCTTGGGTCTATGTTCTGTCAGAGTCTAGCAATAGAGTATATCAAGCCCAAACTAGTCATTACTACTCACAGATTACAGACTTTACATGTGTAGTCATTTATCTCTGTATCTTTGGTGACTATTCTAGTTTTGGGCAATTCTTTTTGTCTGTTTATCTCTTAAGACTTCTTTTAAACAGGCGCAAAACAAAATGTTTGCTCGGTTTATTGATGCATTTAGACTTCTAGCTGTAAAGCAGGATGGAACCTGTTAGTGATGTTGATTTGGGCTGTGCATCGATGGATCTGCTCTTCAATGTTTGGACTTTACGCAGTGACTGAGGGGATGTTTTTTTGGCTCAGGTTCAGTTCTTGGAATCTGAAGTACTGTAAAATGTAGCAATTCTGTGGGACTTGTTGTTGATTGCATCCAGAATTTGAGATGGAAATGCCAATGGATGTTCTCCTTTGTAGACATAAAATGTGTTTGCAAAATTTTGTGTAGGTCTTCAGTTGGACATCTGTACCCATAAGTAGTTTCCATGCAGCACAATGGGCAAAATTACCAAAGATGCTAAAGATTTTAGGCCAGATTGGAATTGCCAATTCAATATTTTACATTTTTCAATGTTATTCAGAACATTTAATGGTATTTTAAAAGTTTCTGAATCTTGATGTAATCATAAACAATGATGATCAACAGATAACATCTGTCTGTCTGTCTGTCTGTCTGTCCGTCCATCTGTCCAACCGTCCATCCATCCATCCGTCTTAGAGACCTGGATATTGACACACCTCTCGGCAACTGGGCTATGGAATTTCTGACTAACAGAACTCAGAATGTTAGATCAGGCCACATCTGCTCCACCACCGTCACAATCACCACTGGTGTACCACAGGGCTGTGTGCTGAGCCCCTTCCTCTACTCCCTTTTTACCATCCACTGTAGGCCTGTGAATAGATCCAACACCATCATCAAATTTGCAAATGACACCACAGTGATTGGTCTAATCAGCAACAATGATGAGACGGCCTACAGGGAGGAGATACAGCATCTGGCCACTTGGTAAACCCCGAGAATAATTTACTCCTTAACACCGAAAAGACCAAGGAGCTCATTGTGGACTTCAGGAAAGAAAGAACAGGCTCACATGATCCCATCCACATCAATGGGATGGCCATTGAGCCGGTCTCATCTTTCAAGTTCCTGGGGACCCACATCTCAAAGGATCTATCCTGGACCACCAACACCTTCAGCCTGGTCAAGAAGGCTCATCAGCGCCTTCAACTTAACTTAACAAGAACCAGCTTTCATCAGCTGTATTGGTGAACTTCTACCACTGCAAAATAGAAAGCACCTTGACCAACTGCATCACAGTCTGTTATGGAAGCTGCTCTGTTGCTGAGCATACGGCACTGTAGCTGGTGGTGAAAACCTGTCCAACGCATCACAAGCAAGCACTCCGTTAACATTCGCTCATGCTCACCTGTAAACTAATACTGCTCAGATCCCATGGTGACATAAAATTTCTTTAGTAGACTAACTCAAAAAAAATTTTGTTACTAAAAAATCTTTAGATAAAAAAAAAACACTGTTTAAAATTAAAGAACGTCGATAAAAAGTTTCTGTTTCAAAGTGATATTCTTTCTTGTGCTTTTTTCTTTTCCTTTTTTTTTCTTTTTTTTATCTATCTATCTATCTATCTATCTATCTATCTATCTATCTATCTATCTATCTATCTATCTATCTATCTATCTATCTATCTATCTATCTATCTATCTATCTATCTATCTATCTATCTATCTATCTCAAGTATAACTTATATTAGTGTCTTCTTTAGTCCCCTCAGGTCTCCCATTGGTCCAGTCGTCCAAGCGCTCTCATATGCACCTGTCCACTTCTGCTTTGGGCAATGCGTCAGCCAGCCTCCACTACCCGATGCCCCCATGTCACTATAGCAACCAGCAGACCACCTACGGCATGATGGCAGGTACGTCAAGTTGCAACTGCGTCAACCATTGCTCTTTTATGCATAAACATAATAAACACACAAGCATGCAGGCTTAATGTTGTGTGTGTGTGAGTGAAATGACAGTGTGGTGTATGTGTGTGTGCGTGTGTTTGTGTGCATCTCCAGCACAGGAAATGCTCTCTGCCAGCATCTCCCAGACCCGCATCCTGCAGACCTGCAGTGTACCTCATGCAAACATGGTTAATGGCGCCAACTCACTGCAAGGTACAGCCTGTGCTTAAATCTAGACTTTGAACCCCATGGCACCACCATTAAAGCGGACAGTTCACCCAAATATTTTAAATTGACTCATTATTTACTTCCCCTCAAGTGGTTGCAAACCATGAGTCTCTTTTTTTTTTCTTTCTTTTGAACACAAAATAAGGTATTTTGGAAAAAGCTGGAAATCTGTAACCATTAACTTCAATAGTAGGAAAAACTAATTCTATAGAAGTCAATGGTTACAGGTTTCCAACATTTTTCAAAATGTCTTCTCTTGTGTTTAACAGAAGAAAGTCATAAATGTTTAAAACAATGAAGGGTGAGTAAAATATGACAGAATTGTAATTTTTGGGTGAACTATCTGTTTAAGTAGTTAAAAATCAATTAAAATAAATCATTTTTTTCCCAGAATATGGTACTCTTATTGGAACTCTTTCATGTTATTTTCCCCATATGTTTTTGCTTCCATCTAGTGTCTGTAGTAGGAAATAACAAGAGTGTGAAACTTCATTCACTCAACGGCCACTTTATTCTTCCATTCGCAGACCTTGGTTTTATAGAATGGTTGTTTTTCGAGTTATTGTTGCCTTTCTATTAAAATGAATGAGTCTAGGCATTGTCCTCTGACCTTTGGCATCAACAAGACATTTTTTTTAACACAGAACATTGGTTTATTGTATTTGTATTGATTTGTTTTCCTCTGTAAACCCTTGAAATGGTTTGATACAAAAATCATAGCAGTTTCTGAAATACTTTACAATCTAAGTTACTTAAAGGGACCCAGTTTAGTTCACTCAAAACTGTAAATTCTGACATCATTTACACACTGTCACAAAGTTGTTTTATTTACTTTCTTTAAAACATTTTGAAGGAAGCTGGAAACTGGTAAGCATTGATTTAGAATTTTCTACTGTGGAAGTCAATGGTTACCGATTTTCAGTTTTCTTCAAAAATCAATTTGTGTTCAACAGAAGAAATTCATTTATTCATTCATTCATTCATTTTCTTTTCGGCTTAGACCCTTTATTAATCTGGGTTTGCCACAGCGGAATGAACCACCAACTTATCCAGCATGTATGCAGCGGATGCCCATTCAGCTGCAACCCATTTCTGTGAAACATCCATAAACACTCATTCACACTCATACACTAGGGATAATTTAGCCTACCCAATTCACCTGTACCGCATGTCTTTGGACTGTGGGGGAAACCAGAGCACCCAGAAAAAAACCCATGCACGCGAACACGGGGAAAACATGCAAACTCCACACAAAAATGGCAACTGACCCAGCCGAGGCTCGAACCAGCGACCTTTTTACTGTGAGGCTACAGCACTACTGTGCCACCGCGTCGCCAAAAAAGAAATTCATGAATGCTTTCATGTGAATATATTTAAATATATTTTCATTTTGGGGTGAACTATACCTTCAAATAGTCGCTCTTTTTTGTTCAGATGCTCGATTTGAACTACTGTATACAGTACAGCAGATCATCTTGACCAGTTCTAGTTGTTTCCATGTGACCAGTTGGTTAGATATTCACATTAAAAAGATGAGTTATATCCAAAAAAAAAGTGGCCTATGAATGTATTTATTTAGTTTTGTGCTATGTATTCCTATCTAGTTAGGTTAATTTATTAAATTTACCTCTTAAAATTCACATTTTATCCTTTATCTTTGCTTTTACTTGCTTATATCTAGTGTAAACATGAAGAAAGAACATGAAGATTCTACATGCAAAACTATAAATATGTGGAATTTTAATGTAACTGAAGGATTCCAGAATTATAGTCACAAAATTCAACTACCTTAAACATAATTGGTGCTAAAGAGAGTACCATGACAGGAGTACAGTACTATTTTGCACTAAAAATATCCAGCCACAAGAGGGAGATGGAGACCAATACACTTTTACTGTCAAACCCCAAATCAAGCCCCCGATATATATATATATATATATATATATATATATATATATATATATATTAATTAAATCATTATAGCAAGGGAGAAATTAATCCAAACAAGACATTTCTGCCATTATCTGACTTTTTCTAAACAAATCTATTGTTCTGTTGAACACGATAGAAGATATTTTAAAGAATGTTGAAAACCTGTAACCATTGAGTTCCATAGTATCCCCCACTAATATAGAAGTCAGTAATTACAGGTTAACCCTTACAGGTTATCCCTACATGGCTAAATTTCTAATATTCTACAAAATATCTGAATAAACAAGGGAAAAAATCGTATATTTGTGTGAACTGTTCCTTTAAATAAAAGCATGTTATTTAAGTGTAAACAGGGTTACCACTTTTAATACAAAAAGTAAAGGATGCATTCTGTAGCGGGGGCCACATCCCTAATCAAAGGCCCAATGTCAGTGGTCAGGACCGGATTAACCAGTTAAGCAATTCACACCCCTCGTCGTTTGATTGACAGAGACAACATAACTAAAGAGCTCAGCAGACAGCAGCATGAGTGGTGTATCTCGTAAGGTGCATGGCAACATCTATTGACCCAATCAATCGTAAACCCAGTTCAATTCCATCATCTGATGAACACATTCTTCTTTTTTCTCCAACTACATATCAGATTTTCCCTATTCATCACGAAGAAGACAAGTAGGAATCATTAATAAGTGTGTGTAATATGGAAGACTCAGATTCATAGAACTGGATTGGAGAGGTGTTATATCCAAATCATATGCATTATAAGTGTGTAGAAGTTATACATTTAAAATACCCTTAAATTTAAATTTTAGTACTGCTTCAGTGAACTTGAACAAGTATATTAAAATCCATTCATTTTCACTAGTTGTATTAGTATTTTTTTTCAAAGTATGCTTTGAATACTTTAAAAATAAGTTAAATCTTTATAGACTGCAAATATATGTACTGTATATAACTTACATAAAAATGAAGGCAATACATTACAGATTCATTTGATTTAACAAGTATTATATTTATCTTATTTTTTAATTCAACTACAGGGGTGCACACCTTAAAATATGTTGTCAGGAAAGTATGTCTTTCATTGAAATCTGTGTAAACAGATGCAGTCAGTCTTTCTCTTTTACAACTCTGCAGCAATGATATAGCTGATTTTATGTTTAATAGTGTGGTACACCTGCGTTAACTCAGCTGCTGTAACCTAGAGGAGAGGAGAAAATACTAATTAACCTAATTTTAAAGTGTGAAATTGATAACAGATTTTGGCTAAAATGTTTGTCATTATTTGCAGTAACACCTATCCAAACATGGAAACAGCAACATGGAAACGCTTACATAAACTAGCCACAAACATTAGCTAGTAAAGTTTTTAAATAGCATATTTCTAATTTAAAAATATGGAAAGTTGCAATTTACTAGTTTATTTTCTTTACATTGGCATTATGTTGTTTAGTACTGTATTAAATGTAATGTTTCATGTAATAAATTGATGCTTATGTTCCTTACTTAACCTCAACAAACAAATCATAATATTGCATTGGAATGTGATCCACTTACATTGTATTTATAGAATTTTTACAAATTTCAATTTGTGACCTCGTGTGTGAAAACCAGGCCAAATCTAATTTTAAAATAAAGACAATAATTTCACTGTGATTTCAGTTGACATGGTTTTACTCAGTTAATATTAAATACATTTATTTTATTAATTTCACAGACTGTTCTTTATTTCATGTAGAAAACAGTAAAAATAAATAAATAAATTACTCTAGCAAGATATTCACAGACTGGGCCACTGTCATTACCATGTCTGCATCGGGAGAGACTTGGGGTAAGAAGAACTGTCTGACTGTGCTTTGATTTTTGTGAGCTCTGTCATTGCGTTAATGCTGCTCTCCAGTGGCATGTTGTGGCAGGACAGACTCGCATGAGTCATGGCGTACTCACACTATGTACAGTTGCCTTAAACCGGGCCAAAGCACGCTTGTCCCCACTCCTGTCTCGTTATGTTGTTTAAGTCGTTTGATATGTCAAATATTTCGCCGAACAGATCAGTCACTGTTGACGCTCATAAAATTTTTTCCGGCTGCAGGAATTAGGAGCTTTGCTGAAGGTGCGCAGCTGTCATGCAGTGAGGGGTTTGAGTCTTTAATAATCTGCGACAGTTGGCGTTCACTGAACAGTAAGAATGATTAATTAATCCATATAAAACAGTCCAATAAAAGTCAAGTCTCGCTTTCAGTTTCAGGCTTAGGTGCATTTTGCACTCACACACAAGCGTACTGCGACAAAGCCCAAGTGAACTGCCCTCAGGCACACCTCTTCTAACCAGGCCTGGGCCGGCTAAGTAAACCGCTCCTGAGCCCGATTCAGAGCACTCTCACTTCTCAAATGATCCGGGAAACAGGCCTAGGCCTAGGTTCAGATGGCATAGTGTGAGTAGGCATACAGAATGCTCTCCGACAAATCGTGCAGTTGATAACAATTTCTAACACTCTGCAGCCAGGCATCTGTTTCCTCCCGCTCTCTGCGGTACTTTTGCAGTCACTTGCTTTGCCTTTTACAAAATTCAGTTTAATATAGTGCTAGTAGGAATGCTTTTTTTTTTTTTTAGAGAGAGAGAGAGAGAGAGAGAGACAGAGAGAGAAAGTGCTTCAACAGGTGCTTTTGGTATCATTTACCGGGGTTCAGGTGCTCTCTAAATAGACAGGTTTTTAGTAGTCGTTTGAAGGATACCAGTAAATCCGCAGTCCAAGTGGAAATGGGAATGAGATCATTCCTACACAGCATGGGACATTGAATTAAATATCTGATTGAATATTATACACTGCCCATCATCTTCAAAACATCAATCTGGCTTGTTTGATTCTGTTGAAGTTTACACAATGCAAATGTTGGTGCATTCAATAGTATTACAATCTCTTTTATTTAAAAAAAAAAAATGATGGTTTGCTTTCGTGTCTCTGAGATGGGATTATTAGGTATTATTCTCTTGATTTGTGTCCCGCAGGAGCTCTGGCTCCACGTCTCTACAAGTTCCCTGAGCACAGTTTGGCTGGAGGATCCTGTGCTTTGAGCCACGGCTTCGCTCCTCTTCCCCAGACCCTGCTAACAGATGAGCCCATTCTAGGAGACATCAAGCAGGAGCTGCGCAGGAAGAGCCGGACCCTCGACGAGACCCCCGACATGGACTCGCCTCAGATCCGAGAGCTGGAGAAGTTCGCTAATGACTTCAAATTAAGGAGGATCAAACTTGGTTTGTCTTTTGATTTCAGTTGCCCATTTTAAAAGTGTAGTTCACCAAATGTATATTTACTCCCCATTGACTCATCTTGTGTTTCGAAAAGTGTGGTTCTTTCATCGTTTGAACACAAAAGCAGACATTTCGAAGAATGTAAATCAGTAGCCATTGACTTTTATTTATAGAATTATTATTATTGAAATCAATGACTACTGGTTTCCAAACTTTCTCAAAATAAGAAAGAATAGTGGCGACGCAGTGGGTAGCACGTTCGCCTCACAGCAAGAAGGTCGCTGGGTTGCTGGTTCGATCCTCGGCTCAGTTGGAGTTTCTGTGTGGAGTTTGCATGTTCTCCCTGTGTTCGCATGGGTTCCCTCCGGGTACTCCGGTTTCCCCCACAGTCCAAAGACATCACTTGGTGTCTTCAGACATCATTTGATGTCCAAAGACATGTGGTACAGGTGAATTGGGTAGGCTAAATTGTCCGTACTGTACTGGATGTTTCCCAGAGATGGGTTGCGGCTGGAAGGGCATCCGCTGCTTAAAAACTTGCTGGATAAGTTGGCGGTTCATTCCGCTGTGGCGACCCCAGATTAATAAAGGGACTAAGCCGACAAGAAAATGAATGAATGAATGAAGAAAGAATAGTGGAGCGAGTGGAGCATGAGTAAATAATTTTACAACCACAAATCTGAAAAAGTTGGAAATGTATGGAAAACGCAAATAAAAAAAGAAAGAAGTGATTTCTAAATTAACTTTGACTTGTATTTCAATGCAGGCAATACAACAAACATTATTTTAAGTATTCCTCGTAATTTATTTATTTTTTAATAAACATGTTTTCCAATTTTAGTTCTTGCAACAAATCTTTTTAAAAGTTGAAACAGTAAAGCCTTTACCACTTTTTAATGTTGCCATTTCTTTTCACAACACTTAAAATACATTTAGGCACTGAAAACACCAAGTGATTAAGTGTTTCAGGTGTAATTTTGTCTCATTCTTCCTGCAAACAAGTCTTAAGGTGAGCAACAGTATAGGGTCTTCGTTGTCACATTTTGCAATTCAAAATGCACCACACATTCTCTATTGAAGACTGCAGGCCATCCAGTCAAGTACCTGTATCACCTCCCTTCACAGCCAGGACTGTGTAATGTGTGCAGAATATGGTTTTGCATTTACTTGTTGAAAGCATATTTGGAAATCACTACTTTTTTATTTGTGTTTTCCATACCGTCCCAACTTTTTTTCTTATTTGGGGTTGTAATTTTCTTGTAAACTATTAGTTTTGTTTATATTGTTAGCAGCAGTTTAATTTAGATTAATTGATTAGTTAGCGTCATGGTGGTCCAGTAGGTAGCACGACCGCCTCACAGTAAGAAGGTCACTGATTCGAGCATTGGCTGAGTCAGTTGGCATTTCTGTGTGGGGTTTGCATGTTCTCCCCGTGTTTGTGTGGGTTTCCTCCGGTTTCCCCCACAAGTCCAAAAACATGTGGTACAGGTGAATTGGGAAAGCTAAATTGTCTGTAGTGTATGTATGTGAATGAGTGTGTATGGGTGTTTCCCTGTGATGGGTTGCAGCTGGAAGAGCATCCGTTGCGTAAACATATGCTGGATAAGCTGGCGGTTCATTCTACTGTGATGACCCCAGATTATAAAGGGACTAAGCAGAAAAGAAATTGAATGAATGAATGATTAGTCATCCAACCTTTACCACACTGCTTTGTTTGTTCATTTACACAACATTATTATTTTTTTTATTTAAACCTTAAGGCCTATATAACTTTCAAAAGCAACCATAAAGTTAAATGAAATTTAGCGCACTAGACAAAGATAAAATTTAGCACGCATTAAAAACATTTATTATGGAAAAATAGGTGTATATTCTTAAATGCAAACTTAAAGATGCTGTATGTAAGTTTTTGACTATTCTAAAGCATAAAAATACCGTAAATATGTTTGCTGATATTTAAGAAACATGCCAAGTGAACATTCTTGTTTATCTGAAAAACAATGAGTCAGATATTCTGCTTTGAAAATGTGTTTCCCGTGCTGGAATACTCTCTTTGTTGTTTTTTTTAACCTGTCTAATGCCAGTTAAACCAATTATATTTCAGCACTCCGAGTTGCCTTGGTGGAAAACCACGCATTTCATTTATTCATTCAGAAAGGCTCTGAAAGCCTTATTGCTTATTATTAATATTGCGAACGTAAACATTAGGTGAGCAGGTTACACTGTAACTGCATATCCTAACACCATGCTTCACAACAAGATACGCATGAAGTGATAAGTAATCTGGCTGTTTGCACCAGACGAAATTTAAATACAGCCATACAGAAGCACAGAATATGCACTCACTCACAAAATGGTAAGGTTTATAATCTATTTAATACATATTAATCCTATTTAACATTATTAAATGTAGTTACTGAACCACCTGTTTAGTTCTAAAGTTTAATTTCAAGATGAGGTAAACTATCTGCTGCTGCTTTCAGTATATGGCAATATGTAAAATGGCATTCATACTCAGCTTGTTGGCATTTAACACTGAATAAAGCACATGAGGTTTACCTGAGGTGATCATTGTCATAGTTTTCTGTTGGTCACCTATGCGAATCAGAAGCCATTTATTTTATATCAATTTAAGGTGTTGGTTTGAACAAAAACTCCGTTTAATATGGAAATAATTCCATCTATTGCGTGCCGTTGCTGTTATGTAGAATATGGTTTAAATCCCTCGCTCCTGTTCTCAATCTGACAACCTGCGCTTCCGTTTGTTTTGATCCAGGAGTGCAATACCTAGTTCAACCACTGGGTGTCAAACTTACATACTGCATCTTTGATGTACACTATATTAGCAAACGTTTTTGGACACCCTTTCTCAATCACTGAAATCTGGTCTTCCAGTCATTTTCCTGCCACAGGTGAATGAAACCTAGGCATGAAGATCCTAGGGATAAAGACAGTTTCGTCAAACATTTGTCAGTTTCAACTTTCAGCAGAGTCAACTTTATTTGGTTTTAGATTAGCTAGAGAACAGTGTATAGAGAGCCTCATAGAGTGGGTCTCCATGCCTGAGCAGTTATAACCAAGCCTTACCTCATTAAGTGTAGGATGCAGTGGTATAAAGTCCCTAGTACACTTCTAAAGAAATCCAAAAACTGAAATTACTTCATTTAAAACTAATCTGGCCATGAATAAAGTTTGTTGTCTGCTCACCAGAACAAACTCCTTGGGGAAGCTTGTTTGACTCCTAAACAACTCTGAGCTACCATTGGTCCCTTACGATTATGCAATTGGATGGCATGTCCTGGAACTCTGCCTTCTTTGACCTGTGATTAATTCATATCACATATCCATGACGTTCAGGCAGGAGAGAAACATCTAACATAACAACAAGTTAGCAGCATGAATACACTGGAGAGTAAAACAGAACGTCATCAGAGGGTAAATTTGGTTGCAACCATTATTCACCTGCCAAACCAATGATTAAAGACCACAGATTATAGTTTACTAGATTATAGGAATCTTTTAGGACTTTCCTAAATATGTCTCAGATGACCAAATTGTGGCCAATATGAGCTAAGCTTTAGAGAATTAAAATGATAATAATCATTTAGCAAAACATTCGGCTTGTGCAAGAAAATGAATATTATTCCTATTAATCCACATTCTTCTTTCTCTGCTAGTAAAACGTCACCTAACTTTAATCTTTGACTGTCAGGTTACACTCAAACCAATGTGGGTGAAGCTCTGGCTGCAGTGCACGGCTCCGAATTCAGCCAAACCACAATCTGCCGCTTCGAGAACCTGCAGCTCAGCTTTAAAAACGCTTGCAAACTCAAATCCATCCTGGCGAAATGGCTGGAGGAGGCAGAGCAGGCCGGCGGTGAGTCAGACTGCAGGAACAAAGTTATTATATGAGCTTTTGTGGTTCCATGAAGAAACAATGATATTTTCATTCAACAAATGCATTGTTTTAGAGTAAAACACTTCTTTAGTGTATCAAGGATTATTAATTATAAATATCATTAACATTAATAGGGTCAATGGCTGCAAAAGACTTGATTTTGATGAAAACCAAATATACATATATATATATATATATATATATATATATATATTCAAAATTATTATATATAAAATTATTTATATATAACAATAAAATTATTATATATAAATTACCACCATTATACCATTACCTCTGAATTTTTCAATTGAAACATCACATATTGTATGATATGAATAATTATGTATCAAATAATTATTAATAATTCATATTATTCTTTTTACATTTTGTAATGCACTTGTCTTTTATTTTTTGTAGTTTATTGTTTTATTTACTTTTTCTTCATTTTATTAGGATTATCAATGATTATTATTATTATTATTGTTATTTTTGTTATCTTTTAATATTTTTTTCTGACTTGTTTAAATTCTTTTCATGAAAACATATGGCTGAATTCAATATTTTACCTTAATGATTTTCTTTTTATTGTTAATTGATTTTTTGTTTACATTTTGTTATAAAACAATATATTTTTTATTTTTTATATCTTCTACTGCATTTCTATTTATTAACAAAATTGTGTTTTTGTTGTTGTCATTATTTTATCCTTTTTTTAATTTTCTTTTTTTTTTTTGCAGTTTTCATTTATTTGTTTTTATTACGTATAGGAAAGAATTATTCCATTTTTCATGAAAAAATAAAAAGGCAAATGTTGTTATTTTCTTTAAATAATGTTTGAATTTTTAATGTTATATCACACAATTTATATTTACATTTTTATTATTTTATTTTAAGCATTTTGCTTTTTTTTTTTTTTGTCATTTAATATTTGTCTTTTTTTTTTTGTATGTTGCCTTATCTTTTTCCTCTTAACTGTGTAAGCATAAAAAGGGAATCCACAAGAAGTTCTTTATAGTGTATGGTGATTCTTTAGCTTATTGAAAGTCTTCAAATGTTCTTCACACTAAGAAAAAAAAATGACAGAAATGTTCTTTGTAGTGGGACTAAGCTGAAAAGAAAATGAATGAATGAATGTTTTTTGTGAAAATTGTCATTTCATGTTGTCACTGCAAAATCTCTATTTTAATTTAAACCCCTTTTTTGTCATCAAGCGTGTATTAATTTATTCATTTCCCACCACCAAACCATCATCCCAGAGCAGTCGATGCTAAACTAAAAGAGAACACTCAGCTAACAGCAATCTGTGCTTCTCATCAGCTCTTTTTAATGAGAAGATGGGTCTGCACGAGCGCAAGCGGAAGCGCAGAACCACCATCAGGTAAACGGATGGGGGATTAGAAAACAAAAGCCATTAAATCAGCAGCTCAAGCGCTAATGATTCGCTAATGAATTCCTCATTTTCCCGGCTCAGTCTGGGGGCGAAGGAAGCGCTGGAGCGGAGCTTTGTGGAGAAGAGCAAGCCGTCGTCTCAAGAGATCGTGCGAATGGCCGAGGGTCTGCATCTGGAGAAGGAGGTAGTCCGAGTCTGGTTCTGCAACCGCCGGCAGAGGGAGAAGAGGGTCAAAACCAGCCTACATCACAGCTCCTTCATGACCAAAGACTGCAGAGCCTAAGAGAGAAAGAGACAGGATTTATTACACAGACACACCAAAGAGCACATGCACTGTACAAATTGCAGAATTCCACAAATTCATTCATGTTGTCCCAACACAAATCTATTACGTTAATGTAACACATTTAAGTGGATTGAACATAAAACAATTACGCTTCCCAAACAAATCTCCAGAATTGTGTTGTTTTAGCTTATTTTACGAGCAGCAAAAAATCTTGTGCGTGTGTGTGTGGACATCTTTGTATTTATGGGCGTACTCACACTATGCTATCCGAATCGCACCCAGGCCTGTTTCCCGGATCGTTTGAGAAGTGTGAGAGCGCTGAATCGGGCTCAGGCACGGTTCACTTGGCCGCCTCTGGCCTGGTTGCAAGAGGTGTGCCTTAGCATGGTTCACTTGGGCTTTGGTGCGGTACGCTTGTATGTGAGTGCAACGCGCCTAAGCCCGAAACTGAAAGGGAGACGTGACTTTTAAGGGACCGCTTAATATGGATTCTTTAATCATTCTTACTGTTCAGTGAACGCGTACTGTCGTGGTTTATTAAAGACGCAAACCTCTCACTGCACGGCAGCTGCGCACCTTCAGCAAACCTCCTAATTCCTGCATCACAAAGACTTTATGATTGTTTAGGATCATCAAAAGTGGCTGATCTGTTCGGCTAAACATTTGACTGCGTGTCATTGCATATCAAACGACTTAAACGATACAACTAAAGAAATCTCCACTGTGCTGAGCGAGAGCGCTTACTGAAGCGTCGATGACGTAAGCGTGCCCAGACCTGAATGTAATGGAGTGCGGGCCATCAGGGAAGATGAGAGGGGGGACAAGCGTGCTTTGGCCTGGTTTAAGGCCACTGTACATAGTGTGAGTACGGCCTATGTCACCCTTTACGATATCTGAATGTTGTCTGTAGATTTAGCGAATCAGACAGTAGGGTTCTATAAACAATTTTCTTTCTTTTTTGTGTGTTTTGACCTATTTTTTTTTATTACAACTGAGCTCTGAATACTGTCACTGCATTTACTCTATAATGACATTGATGCTGGATGTATGCATTATTTAATTTAAATGGGAAATTAAATTTAATTTTAATTTAAAGTTATTTTAATTTAAAGTATTATGATTTAATAATTATTTCAGTTTATTTCCTTGTGATCATGTTTATGTGTTATTTAAAGTAGATTAGCTATAAATGGACAATCACTGCCTCCCCCCACATTCCACACTTTCATATGGTTATCACCCGCGGTGTGGGTAGACAGGTCTTTCTAGCTGCAGGACCGGATGGCTGTTGCCTGCATCAGACTATCTCTACATCCTCTGTTGCTTTGTTTATGTGTTTATGTCATAGGTCTCAAACTCAATTCCCAGAGGGCCGCAACTCTGCACAGTTTTGCTCCAACCCTATCAAACAAAGCTGATCCAAATGATCAGTGTTCAAAAGAGTCATGAACACCTTGGATCAGCTGTGTTTGATCAGGGTTGGAGCAAAACTGTGCATATCTGTGGCCCTCCAGGAATCCAGTTTGAGACCTATGGTATATGTGCTTGCTGCTGGGGCTTTTTTCCCCCCGTTCTCATACTGCTCTATAAGAACAGTCTGGGATGGGCTTTTTTATGAATTATTTAAGTTTACTATTAGAATATTTAATCATTTATAAATGTTGAAAGTTTTAGATTTTAGAATGTAAATAAAGTAAGATTGTGTTCCAGCAGTCTGTGTTTATGTAGTCCAAGAAGGTCCCCTGCAGAATAGGTAGAAACCACCCAGAGCATCAGGTACCCACTTGTTTTTTTTTTGTTTTGTTTTTTTAAATATAAAAAATTTGTTTTTGTTATATTATGAATAAAGACAAAAAAAGTACATTTTGTGTGTGATTATTGTTTCATTAAAATGAGCAGAAATCCTGGTCCCTTCTTGGCCAGTATAGACCAACAGTCCCCTTATAGTAACATAGACATGTGTGTGTATGAGTACACTCAGCCTTGGAACAGATTGTACTTTAAGTGTGTGTGTGTGTTCAATCTATTTGATTGTGGAACTGTTTCACAGGTCTGGAGTCAGCTCTAAACAGTCTAGTGTATGTCTGACATTTATATGCTTAAGACATTGTTCAGAATTGTACGCACGCACCCACCTGGAAATTTTTCTAGTCTATCTGTGTTTTAACCAATCAATATGTATGACGCAGTTAATGACATTATGTGAGAGTAAACTTGTTATTGATTTGTGATTGTAAGCAGAGCAGTCTAGGAACTACTGATGAAACTGCAAACAATCTTCAGTAAACTTTATTTATTTAAATCTCTGACTCTGACTCTTCTTTTTCTGACAGACTGATCTTTATTTGGGTTAAAACTGTAAATAACCTCTACAGATTGGTGGAGGATGTGTGGCATGTGTTTACTAGTGATTTCTCAATCAACAAAAAGAAAGGTAGGTAGATTTAAATTATTATATAGACTAGGGGTTGTCTGTAAGTAGTGGTTAGTAACGGAATGCTATGTGGGTCTCATTCAGACGTGAATGAAAGGCATCAGTGGATTCACAAAATGTGTGTGGAATCCCATAGAGAGCTGGTTTTTCTAATGGTTAAATGTAGACCGTTTTATTTACCCAGGGAGTTCACATCCACCATTGTAGCTGCTGCTTATATTCCTCCTGATGCTGATGCCAAGCTTGCTATGATTGAACTTCATGCAGCCATCAGCAAACAACAGACTGCTCACCCCGAGGCTGCTTTTATTGTTGCGGGGGATTTTAATCACTCAAACATAAAGACAGTGCTCCCCAAATTCCATCAAAACATTTTCGACCACACAAGGGGAAACAAAACCTTAGACCATGTTTACACAAACATGGCTGAAGCATACACTGTGACCCCCCTCCCCCACTTGGGCCAATCAGATCACCTTTCTTTGTTCCTCACTCCCAAGTACTCACCACTCATCAACCATGTGAAGCCATCAGTGAGGACCATCAAAGTGTGGCCAGCAGGGGTAGACTCCACACTACAGGACAGGTTTCAACACACAGACTGGAATATCTTTGCTTCCCTGGCCACCTGTGGCTCTCACACAGACATTGACAGTTACACTTCCTCTGTTCTGAAATGCATCAACACCACCATAGACAGTGTTACAATCCAGAAACAGATCACTACAAACCCGAATCAGAAGCCATGGATGAACAAGGAGGTGCACCTCCTGCGGAAGGCACGCAACACTGCCTTCAGATCAGGGGATGCACAGGCCTACAGCACTTCCAGGGCTAATCTGAAGAGGGGAATCAAAAAGGTCAAGCACTGTTACAAGCTAAAGCTAGAGGAGCACTTTTCCAACTCTGATCCTCTGTGCATGTGGCAGGGCATCCAGGTCATCACCAACTACAAACCCAGCCAGATCACACCCACAGCCACAAATGTCTCTTTCCTGAATGAGCTAAATGACTTTTATGCCCGCTTTGAAAGAGACAATAAAAAACCTACACCAGGATCACTTCCTCAACCGACCACTCACCTATCACACTCACCTCCTCAGAAATCTACACCGCACTCAAGGTCGGATCAATGTGCGTAAGGCTGCTGGATCAGACGGTATTCCTGGGCGCGTCCTCAAAGCATGTGCAGAACAGCTCGCTGGGGTATTCACAGACATTTTCAACCTGTCGCTTAATCTAGCAGCTGTGCCAGCATGCTTTAAAATCACCTCTATTGTGCCAGTGCCCAAACATTCCAGCCCAACATGCCTGAATGACTACCGCCCTGTAGCACTCACACCCATCATCATGAAGTGCTTCGAGCGGTTGGTCCTGGCACATCTAAAAGACTCTCTGCCATCCACACTGGACCCACATCAATTTGCCTACCATGGCAACAGGACCACAGAAGATGCAGTCTCCATAGCACTGCACTCTGTACTCACACACCTGGACAATAAAAACACTTATGCACGAATGCTGTTTGTGGACTTTAGCTCAGCATTCAACACTGACATACCCTGCAAGCTAATGATCAAACTTAGAGACTTGGATATTGACACGCCTCTCTGCAACTGGGTTATAGACTTTCTGACTAACAGACCTCAGATGTTAGATCAGGCCACATCTGCTCCACCACATTCACAATCAACACTGGTGTACCACAGGGCTGTGTGCTGAGCCTCTTCCTCTACTCCCTTTTTACCATCGACTGTAGGCCTGTGAATTTTTGCAGATGACACCAAAGTGATTGGTCTAATCAGCAACAATGATGATGCGGCCTATAGGGAGGAGATAAAGCATCTGGCCACTTGGTGCACTGACAATAATTTGCTCCTTAACACCAACAAGACCAAGGAGCTCATTGTAGACTTCAGGAAAGGACAAACAGACTCACATGATCCGATCTACATCAATGGGATGGACGTTAAGCCGGTCTCGTCCTTCAAGTTCCTGGGGACCCATATCTCAAAGGACCTTTCCTGGACCACCAACAACTCCAGCCTGGTCAAGAAGGCTGACCATCACCTATTTTTCTTAAGGCAACTTAACAAGAACCAGCTTTCATCAGCTGTCTTGGTGAACTTCTACCACTGCACAATAGAAGCATCCTGACCAACTGCGTCACAGTCTGGTATGGAAGCTGCTCTGTTGCTCAACGTACTGCAGCGGGTGGTGAAAACTGCCCAACGCATCACAGGGACCACACTGCCTACCACTCAGGACATCTAGAAGAAACACTGTCTGCGTCGAGCACACAGTATTCTTAAAGATTCTTCTCACCCTGATCACAGAATGTTTTCACTTCTGCCTTCCGGCAGACGCTTCAGGCTCCCCCGGACAAAAACTAGCAGACTGAGGAACAGCTTTTTCCCCAGAGCTGTCTCCCTTTTGAACTCTACCCCTCACTGACTCTTTTGCTCCCCTAATACACCCCCCACTCTCCTCTAACTTATACTCCTCACAATCACTGCCCTGTTTAACATTTGCACATTTAAAATTTGCAGATCTCTTACACTATATTGCACTGATTCATATATTTGAACTGTACATACCTACTGCACATGGACATTTGTAATTATGTACACACCCACTGTACATATACATCTGTA